ATGATAATAACAATAACAAGCAATTACTCTATTACAGTCTATCATCAGTTATAGAAACTTGAGCTGGAGGGAGAGCTCAAGTTTCTATAACTGATGGCAACGGATGAAGCGGAAGAGAAAAACAAATGGATAGTTGACAGCTATGTTAGTGAGAGAAGGTTAGGGTAAGATTGACAGATGGATCGGAGCAAAGTGTGCAGTGATGTGGTTTCTGTATCGGACTGTTGTGTCGAAGAGGGAGCAGCGTCTGCAGTCAGCGCTGTATCGGACTGTTGTGGTGATGAGGGAGTCAAGAGTCAAAATTCTCGATTTCTCGGTCATTACTGAGCTTTGGGTAGCGACCGCGGATGAAAGTGGTTCACTCACACGGGGGGGGTAGCTCGGCGTAGAGCCACTGCTTCTCTACGTCCAAATGTGCTAGTTGAGGTGGCTCGGGCATCCGAAATTTCGGATGCCTCCCACTCTTAGGGAAGATCCAGGACACGTTGGAGGGGCCGTGTCTCTCAGCTGTTCTGGGAACGCCTCAGGATTTCCTCTGGATGAGCTGGACGTGGTGAGTGTGGAGAGAGAAGTCTGGGCAATGGATAAAGCGGAAGAAAATTTAATGGATTTAAATAGACCCACATTGCTATGAAAAACAACGTGCATTCAAAATGTTAGTCCACAATGTTCTTAACGCCATGTCTCTTGTTCAGTCTTGTATCAGCAATTTTGCATCCTATTTATCGCAATCCCAATGTTGATCAGAAAAGTAGTGCAGCCAAAACCATGCAGCCTCCTCGCAGACCGCATGACTCACTCGCTCCCGAAAATAGCATCACAGCACCAAATAAACGCACTGGATAAAAGTTGTATGTTGCGAGGCTCATTAGACGCCAGGTCAAATCTTCTGCATATCCATATCTGAGTTACGCCCTCGTCAGCAGCGCTTGCATGTTTTGTATTGTATTGTATGGTATTGTGTGATCAGGTTGAAGAGGCTGCTCAAACAAAGTAATGGGGGTTTTGTGGGTGCGGCAGAGAAGGAGGAGGAGGAGGTGGTGTTGGTGGTGGTTTCCAAAAGACCTATTTCAGAGCAGAGCGATTGCACTGGCAGCACTCTGCGAATTTGGAGCCGGGAACAGAGGACGCATGAATTATTTAGGCAAATGTAGCAGAGGACGGAGGCAACACGGATTCAGACCAAAACAACAAGTCCTGAGGTGACGCTCGGATAAAAGCGTTTTATTCAGTATTGGGATTTTGGTTAGATGAGTTAAAGCAATGCAGATGGCTCCCTGTCAATGTTAATGTCCGATTGATAACTCTAGGAGGCAACTAAAGCCTGGTTCACACGGCAGGATTATTAGGCCGATTTAAGACCTGATTTACCCCTTACGACAATCTTAAGAACGCTCCGGAAAAAAATCTGATGGATTTTCCATGTGTGGTGTGTAAAGACTGCACTCGTCACTCAGGAGGACTTTGGGACTGCTCTGATCTCAAATTGGGGATATTCAACATGTTGGATTGTTTTGGCCCAATTTCTCTTGGTGTGTGGTGTCGGGTACAGACGAGCACGCTGCCAGTGGACCGCAGCGTGTAGCCAATCAGAAGACGAGGCGACGAGGAAACACCGGAAAAAAATCATAACAGCCAGCGACATGCGTTATTATCATAGATCCGTGGTGGCATGGCACATAAATATATATAGTCCATGTTCGCGTTGTCTCCATTTCTTTGACCATCGCCTTTTTCCTTTGATAACACTTTTTCTCTGTTAAAAACAATCGCCGCTGTATCCCCTTCGACCTGGGAATGCTCGGGGGTGAAATTGGTTTGTGTGTGATGTGTGTGGTTTGCGTGATTTTGCCGTGTGGCTGCGCACCACACACTGTACGACCAAAGTGGTTAGACCCTTGATTATTTTATCTCCGTGTGTGGGGTCTCTCAGGTTCGGAAGCATCTCGGAGGACCTTTTGAAGTTGATTCACCAACAGAGACCAAAGAATCAAACAATTCTACATACAGTACATGAACTGATCACTAGATTCCTTACAATTGAAACTTTTAAGCGTCTACTGTATGTATTTATATAGTAGAATTTTAACACGATGACTTTATGTCTATTTTCTACAATTTGTTTCCTTTTCTGCACCATAGACCAAAGACAATTCCTAGTTTGTGATTTCTTGTTACTTCTAACCTGGGTAAACTCTTCAAATAAGCATTTTCTTAAAAGATAGAGTACCTCACATTTAATAAAACATCTCGAGTTTATAGTCTTTTATAGTCCAAATAATAGACATAAAAGTCCATATTTGTAAGAAAGAGCCCTGGGAGACAATATTTAACGCACTGACTGACGCGTTTTTGATGATTTCAGTGGTTGTCAAGGCCCACAGAATATTATGGGTTATGAATATGTGGAAGTTTGAAACCAGATTCTGAAAGACTAGATTGTCTACTTTCATCAACAAAAATAAGTTGGTTTCTAGCTTTTTATTTTCTCCTTTAATCCCCAGTCGAATCGAGGGAAGTTTCTCAGGAAATTCCGTCAATGGCAGTCCATGGATGGATTTGAGATTTGACTGGCAGAGTGAGGGTGGTCCTGTCTTTATCCATTTTTCTGTCTGAAAAACTATTCTCAAGTTGTGACAGAAGTCAAAATATACATGATGAAACCGAGTGTGAGGATCTAATGTCATGGATTTCATTGCATTGTGCTTGTAGTTTTGTTTTGAAAGTTCTGTCCCACAGCTTGAATGAATCAGAGAGAAGTCCATCCAGTGCTTGATTGTTTGCCTTTTGGTACGAAAAACTTGCTGTACTGCCCCGTCACCAAAGGAATAACTTCAGACCTTACTTCTAACTGTTGTTTTGGAAAAGTGATTCTTTTCTTTTCTAAAAGTTGCAACTTCATCCTCACAAACTCGTACACATTCCACGGCTGTCTTCTGTTATTTATTGCCTTTATCTTCCCTAAATCCACTGGAGGACAGTGTAATTCCTACGGTATCGCTCCATCCCGCCGCCGCCGCCGCCATCTTTAGCATCCCCGCCTCGTCCACGTCATCTATAAACTTTATGGACTGCTTTGCTTGTGAGTGCTTCACTTCTGGCGGCTTGCGTGTCTTAACCCCTGGCTCCCGTCCCAGAAGCCACTCAGACCGGGCAGTATACTCCGGGGACCTTGGCCACCCTTGGCACGTCCTGGATACCAATTTCAAAAACCAACTTTATATCTCTGATGGCACCATTTTTTTTTTTCTCTACCAACAAAACCAAAGCAGCAATAAATCAAAGCCCATACTCCCAGTGTGTGTGTGTGTTTTTTTTGTCTACCTTTTTGTTCCACAGACAATGGGTTTTTGTCGTAATATTCTGTGTTTTCCTTTTGCACACTGCAAAAAGTGATGAAAAATGAGATAATAAATGCTTAAATAAAGTGTTTTTAATCTTAATTTGAGCACATTCTTTCTGTCTTGAAGGTAGTTTGTGTAATTTTTACGGTTTCTCCAAATGAAAAAACATGTTGATCAAAAACAAATGCGACCTTTTTTGGAATATTTACCTCCACCTTGTTTTTGAATTGTCGTCGTAGACTTAGACTTTGACTCATAAATGTCCATGAGGCTGAGGACTCTCTTTGTCAATGTGCCATCTTGAAATACAGTGGTCGATAAGGGACAAAAAGGGGTTTGAGCGGGAGTTGGGGACCACTAAAGACCACATATTGTCCTGCGAAGCTACCGTAGTACTGTAGATTACAATATATGATCTCAATGCTAAATGGGAGTAAAACCTGCACAGTGCACCTTTAAAACAAGATTCTCCAATGGGAACAAGCTATTTAGTGTTATTTCTTCAATCTTTTTAAAATAAGATAATTTTGCTTTGTCCCATTGGCAAATCTTGTTTTAAGGCAGTCAGAATGTGCTACACGTTTTCACCAATTTTGTCACTTTTTGCAGTGCATGCACGATCTACCCATGCGTTAGTATAAATATGGCTTATTCCAATGTGACGTGAAAAGTTTGGACAGAGCGGCGTTTGTGTTGTTTCGTTTTATGATGAGCCGTTGTGAATTCCCCCGTGTTGCTTGGGCTGCGGTTTTGTGTTCCATGAGAGGGTCGTAAGTCGCGACGGGTGAGGGATGGAACGGGGAGAAGGGGAGTTAATGTTGCATATATTTGTGATTTGAAATGAGGTTGTGTGGATACGTCGGTACAGCTCAATAGCCCTGTTTGTGAGGCGGTTGGAGGCAGAACAAGCTGGGATCTGGTGTAATGCAATTCAAATGGAATTCTGATATCATTTGTCGGCGTAAAGCATTGTGCGGAATTACGAGTAAGCGTTGTCGTGGCGATGCATGCGCGTTAGACTTGCTGGGATTGGGTTCAAATAAATAACTTGTTTATGGGAGAACCGCACGTCTGAAGCAAAACCTCGGATTCCAAGATACTGGTTCATTCAAGTCAATGGGCTGTCCTGATTGGTCACCACAAAGACTGTTTTGTTATACAATAATGACTAAATATATATATTGTTCGCCAAAACCCCAAAAAAAAGTTCATAATGAAATAAAATGCTAAGAATCCGACCTTTGCTGCAAAAAATGATACAATATGTGGTAATTATTGCTTGATTTTAAATACCTGAATGGTTTAATTTTATATTAAAGATTTTCCAATTTTCCATTTTTAAGAATTGTTGCTTTATTTTCTCATTCCAAGGGAGACATTTCTTGTATGTGTTTTAAGGCAGTCAAAAAATTGCTAAAATTTAGTTTAAAAAAAATCAAAATTTGAGCAATTTTTTTACTTATTTTTCATCACTATTTGCAGTGTGATGTAAATGCTGTATCGGTTACCTGTCTGCTGAGAACATTTTGGCCTTTGAGTATGTCTTGTGTTGCCCATGGCTGCTTTCAAACTCCACAGACACCACTTCCTCAAATGACCAGCGTAATTTTCGACTCAAGTGACACCAGTTTTTCTTTCTCTGTTGCAGACATAAACATGGCGGGCGAGCCGAAGCCCTACAGGCCCAAGGCGGGAAACAAGCGGCCGCTGTCAGCTGTCTACAGGTATTCACTTTCTTGCTATTTAAAACATCCAAATACACTGCTTTTCTGACGTAAACACTGACAAACACTCCCAACAGACGTGTCATTTTTAATTTCTGACGTGCGCTGCCTTACATTCTCCAACCCAGCCTTGTCGAGCCTTTGTTGTGTAAGCCTCATTATGCCTGACCTGTATCTCTTAGCCAGCACACATTTCCTGGTCCCCAAATCAAAGCAGTAGTTGTTTACCCCGTCTGATGGAAACAGAGGCAAGCCTGCGTACGCCCTTGGACAAAAAAAAAAAATTTTTTGCTATACTTCAAACCCAACCGCCGCCCCAACGACCGCGATACATTACTTATTTGATAAATATTCATTGATTTGTTCTTGGACTCATACCATTGTAGCACAGGAATGTTGTGGTGTAATTGTTCGGCGCGAGGAGAAACAAAGCAAACACAGCCGTACTCTAAATTGAAAGCGATACGTTAGACCTAATTACAATTCCACTGAAAGGAGCAAATTTCACACAACCGCCGTCTTCACCTTGAATCCCAAAAAAGCCGTCTTCCTCCTCCCCAGAAGTTTCTGTTCAGACTTCTAAAAGTTTTTTTGGCATATTTTCGTAATTTTCAGTTGTAGTGGTTTGTCTGAATGTTATGCATGTTCCAACCTGCATACCCTAACCCTAACCCTAACCCTCACATTTGGCATAGATAAGTTCTACAAAAATTATATTATTGCACTTTATAAAAGAACATAAATATTTTGTGTTTTGATCTGAAGGTTCAATCACTTTTTACCAATCCAACATGGCCGCCTCCTCTTCTGTTTTCTCTCCCACAGTGGATACGAGTTCGACTATGAGTACTACAGAGACGACTTCTACAGCAGGTACCAGTCTTTTTATGCATTATAATCATGACATAGAAAACAGTTTGGCTTTAAAGCTGGGGCACCTAAAACATATTATGATGTTTGTCCCAATAGAAAGAGTCTAGTGGAAGATTCTGTCGATGTCATGAGGGGTGGGATGACGGAGGACTCAAAAGCGGGAATGCAAAAATAATGAGTTAATAAATAAAAGTCCAGATGAAAACAAAACTCAAAATCCAAAAATTGATCCAGGAACAAAGACAGACTAAGACAATACAATGGACCAGCAACGAGGGGAGAGGAGCACAGGTACATTCAGGGCGGGGCAGACAACCAAGACAGGGGAACAAGACAGGAAGTAAAACTAAAACCAAACCAACTTAGAACTGATATCAAAATAAAACCAATGTACAAAATAACACAAAATCCACACCATGACACTCTTGAACTTATTAAAAACCGTGTGTATGAAAGAGCCCTGTGAGTCACTATTTGGCACTGAGCAGATTGGCAGATTTTCACATTTCTGTCCAAAAAAGCGGATCTAAAGATGTGACTGAGGCCAATAATACATGTGTGTAAAAATGTGTAATGGAGGCAAACAGTTGTGAGAGCGAGGCAGATTTTAGACAGATTTATATATCACGTCCTATACTGTTTATTGGGGTTTGAAAGTCAGGTACCCCAGCTTTAATACCACGTTCATTTCACTTAAGCGTAGATCAGAGACACAGACTCAAATTGGAGGCGATGTCGGCTTAAAGACACGACATGGTTTCCTTTTGATACATTCGGATTTAACACTTTTCAAAGGCGAAACGTTCCCCTTGTGGAATCTTTCATCTCGTCGGAAGCGCTGAGCAGACGAGATGGAAAGTTGCTAATGACGGAAGCCCCCAGTCTCTCTCTCTAACCGTCCCCCTTCCCCCTCCTTCACCGATCACGGCACTTATCCTCCAGACATTTGCAAATGTCAACACCGCTTCGCTACAGTCAAAGTGACACCTCCGGATGACATTTACCGCCCCCTCCTCTGCAGCCTCTTCACTCCGAGACGAGACCGGCGCAGGTTTCAATACTTTTGTTTTATGTGCGGCGCCCGGCATTGAAGAAACGGTCGTGGGAGGGGAAAAGGCCACTGGGATTTAGACTGAGCCAGAAAGGTGAAACCAATAAGTAAAAGGGAACGTTTAAAGATTTCCACAATATGCAATAGCGTTTGAAAGACTTTCTGACAGCTTGGCGTAGGAGTTTGTCGGTTTGTAGCTGGTGCAGAAGGTGATTAAGTCCTTGAGATGTTTTGCACAATGGCTTTGATTTCTGGAGCAGTGAAAACATGCTGAGGTCTGAAACTTAAAGCAAATGGAGTTGTGTTGCAGAAGGTTTCTCTCTGAACATTCTGACAGCAACTAAACTCTTTACAAATTTGCCCGTCTTTGCAAATCAGTTGTTAAGAGACTTTGAGACTTTCAGCATTACAGTTTTGGGACTGTGGTTGCTTATAAAAACGACAATCGTACATAAAACAAAGCTTCTGGCAACCTTAGATAAACGCGTAATCCAAAGAAACGTATTGAAGTTACCCTGTATTTTGGCTTTCAATTGGACATAATGGTCTAAAGCGTTGACACTCATCTCATTTAGTGAATTTATACTGCAGACCTGGGACAAAAACAGATGAAAGATCAGGAAGTAGTTTGGATTTGTGTCGGCTTTTCAAAATAAAACATCCGGCTTTCAAAATAGGTTTTCTGTAATCACAACACAATGCACCGAGGACTAGGGAATCACATTATGGACAACTGCAAGTGTATCATCCAACTTGAGCAACGACATTTTCCAACATATTTATAACCAGGACAACTTTATAAAGGAGAGAACAGTGCATGCATTGCCTAAACTTCAACGGTAAGAGCTTCACTCGTCACATGGGATTTTACGCTGTCTTAATTAAAAATGTTGTCCTTCGTGTGGCTTTGGTGTAATTTTATGATCTTTTTCAACTGCCCAACATTGAAGCAAAGGGCTATAAACTAGTTTTGAGGTCTAAATGGTCACTTTAGTCGGTTGGAGTGTGGGTGCGACAGTGGCTCAGTTGGTAGAGCTTTGGTCTTTGAACCTAATGGTTTTGCGTCCCACATACTCCATCTGTGGTCTGCCCCGACCAAGAAATGTACAAAGGATGAATGTATGTTTTCACACTGAGCACGCCTGGATGAATGAAGTGTTTAGGTCAAATGTCGACTCATTCTGAAACATCAGTCCTGAGTCTGAAAGGAACAGGTGCCTCAGAAATGTTTGCCGAATACACAACGTTTTTTGGTCAGTTTGATATTATTCTTGACTCAGTATAACCAATTGCACAACGATCTGAGCCAAGGGTGTCCAAATAGTTCCAGAAAGTGAGGGTTTGGCTGCAGGATATCATTTCAACCAAGCAGGAGAACACCAGACTTAACCTGGAGGATTAGGAAATATAGGTGGAATCTGGTTTGACACCTGTTTTAATTGCAGTTTTTATTGACCTAAGTTCACAAACCAGTTTATTCCATTCATTCATGATTATGTCTTTATTCGTTCCTCTCCCGAAATGACCCCAGCTGTTCTTCCAGGCTGTTCGACTACCACGGCAGAGTGGCCCCTCCTCCCAGAGCGGTCATTCCTCTGAAGCGCTCCCGGGTGCTGGCTCAATCGTCCCGTCGTGGAAAGACCTCCTTCCCCCTCAAGACGTCCTCCTCATCCTCCTCCTCCTCCTCCAGACCGCCCACGTCATCTTCCTCTGGCCTCAAACGTATGTACACTGTCACTTTGATGCATTTACGCCATTGCAACAGATTGTAAAATTGTGATGTGGTCTACTTATCAAAGACGTTTGAAATGGGTCCAATTTGTAATGGGTTTTCATAATGCATTTTTAGAAGAAAATCTAGTGTTATCTGTTATTAGTAATCAAGCAATGACCATGGATCTACAATCCACAATTAACCATCTGCACAGGAATTAGACAATTGGCATGAAAAAACTCCAATATTCTGGCAGAACTCCAGTAGCGGAAAGATGGTGTCCGTGAGCCAGAAATATATAAATGCTCAAATAATAACACAAATGAACATATTAACCCAATATGCACCGGATTCTTGCAGATAGTTTAAAACAGATAGAAGTTGGACAAGACTAGAAATAGATCAAAGATAAATGGCTTGAAGCTCATGCCATTCTTCTGCTTTTCCGGCCAATGGGTTAAACTTACAACCTTGCACACCGCATTGACTGATAATTGCCTTGAAACACAAAAAGATCACCTCCTAATTAAACCAACACCATTGAGTCCTTTTGTACAAACCCGGCCTCGTAAAGCCCTCCTCGCTTGATTTTTGTCCGCTGGTATAAAAAGCACTTTAATTCACAGCAATGGGAGCGAAAGCGCCAAATCTCCATCCTAATCCCCCTTTTAACGCTGCTCCACCGCTATCCCTGACACTCCTATCTTCCAAAACCTCTCGCCATTAAGTAGCCAGGCATTTAACCGGCCTGAATGTAATTATAGCCCGACTGGTGCCGCGGTCGGGCTTGTTTTTGCTGAATGTTTGCGTATATCTGCTATAATTGGATAGGATGTTTGTGTCTGGGTCTCTGTATTATCAGTAGCAGCAGCTTGGTGGGGTCTGCCAGTGGAAACCATGCAGTATTATAGCAAACGAGTAAAAAAAGAGAGGGATAAAAAGCACTATTTTTGCAGCGATTCAATGGATTCAGTGTTCTAAAGCTTCCCCGTAAAGCTGTGTGTTAGGAGAACTAATTTGGTCGAAGCCGGTGCCGTGACGAATGACTTTTTCGATTGACTTTGGCCCGGATGGATTGGCCAGGTGGAATGAGGTTAACCTGCACAACGACACGGAGAGAGATGGAACAGGAGTTTTCAGCCAAATAGCCAATGAAAGTAATCATTCAGAGCAGGGGAGATGGGGGAAAACAAGGAGGGAGTTTGTTGAGGGAGCACGGTGGCACTTTTCTGGTATATATTCCATTTGTGTTTGTATAGCCCTGAATTATAACAGCAGTCGTTGCAGATCCAGGACTGAGGCTGTAGATCCAGGACTGAGGCTATAGATCCAGGACTCAGGCTGTAGATCCAGGACTGAGGCTGTAGATCCAGGACTGAGGCTGTAGACCCAGGACTGAGGCTGTAGACCCAGGACTGAGGCTGTAGATCCTGGACTGAGGCTGTAGATCCAGGACTCAGGCTGTAGATCCAGGACTGAGGCTGTAGATCCAGGACTGAGGCTGTAGATCCAGGACTGAGGCTGTGGATCCAGGACTCAGGCTGTAGTTCCAGGACTCAGGCTGTAGATCCAGGACTGAGGCTGTAGACCCAGGACTGAGGCTGTAGACCCAGGACTGAGGCTGTAGACCCAGGACTGAGGCTGTAGATCCAGGACTGAGGCTGTAGATCCAGGACTCAGGCTGTAGATCCAGGACTGAGGCTGTAGATCCAGGACTCAGGCTGTAGATCCAGGACTGAGGCAGTAGATCCAGGACTCAGGCTGATATGTTTTCTTGATTTCTACCTAATTTCAAAAGCTAACCTGTCTGAAGTTAATCTAAATGTGCATTAATCTACTGCTCTTCTTGATTGCCAAAATGTGTGCTGAGTTTTGTGACACAATTAAAAACTAATGTGAGTAGATACAAATAAAGTTAACTTGATACCAAATGTTCTGAGCTTAACAATTAAGTACAGCATGCCTATATTGGTGGAGCTGAAGTTGGCCCGATGACACAGTGAAATTGCCCCAATGGTTATTTTGTGTCAGCAAAGCAGAGGGCCCTATACTAAGACACAGTGGGCCGCATTTGGCTTCTGGGCCATAGTTTTGCCCCAGCGTAGGAGGTACACAGCTACAGCAAAGAGGCTTTAAACACCTTTTCTCTCCATTTCTCTAAAACTTGTCTTTGTCCCCAAGTTAGATGGAAATCTTTATCCCCAAAGCCCTTTCTCTTTGTCCACTAATCTTCACAGGCCACTGCTCCGGCGTCTCCTCGGCATCTCCCACAGATACCCAGCCTCCGGTTCATCTCGGGTTTCTAAAATTAACATCATTACTCACTCCCTAAATCGCTCCTAATGCTGATTAAATAACAAAGACTGCCTTCTCCTCTCCCGGTCTACTCCTGACGACTTAATGCACTGATTCTCGCTCTACGCTGCTTAGTTTGTATCCCACAATTATACAGAATCTCCCCTCGAGGCAAGCGATAAATTAGAAACCGTTCTTCCCTTTTCTTATCATCAAAAGGTTGACTCGCTCGTGGCCCCAGATAAAGTCACATCCGGAAAATAAACGTGTTCATGGCGATGCTGTCAGCCCACATGCAAGGAGAGAGATATTGGGCTGAGGTGATGCATTAGGAGATGGATACACTTCGTGATATTTTTCCGATCTTGTATGGATCTTTAGAGACGGTTAATTTTTCGCCTGCGTGTCTCTGAGGGGGTGGGAGGCTGCGCTACAAAAACACAAGACCAGACATGGATATAGTCTGTAGTGCTTCCCAAGGGTTCAAATGTATGTATGCAGTCTGCTGTATACAGTATGCAAATGTAGTCATACAGCTGCAGAAATGGGTAGGATTAGAGAAATTATGTGCCAAAGCCTGCAGTGATTTCCTTCTCCCGGATGAAGTCGATTTAGAGATGACTCCAACAGGATCACCAGCCAGGTCCAAGCCTAATTCTGGGGCAGAAGACACCTGATTGGTTTGTTGTTTGTGGTCATACCTGGGTTTGCATAGACAAGCTCAAAATACCAACAGAATCATGCAAAGCGTTAAAATTGTGATTTATTATTGAGCCCAAAATTGTGAGTGTGATATGAGAAAAGAGGAGTTTCATTCAAGCATTTTCATACTGTTTATTGACTTTGTATTTATACCAAGGACCAGGTGGGGAAACGCTCGGTGAGTTGTTTAGACCCGTGTCAACTTTTCACCTCAAGGAATACAGTGTCAAAATTTGTGAAATAGCAGCAAAACTTCTCCCATGAGTGAAGTCCCTTATGAGGCTTCACCAAGTTAAGCGGCTAGCACTGTCCATGGCTATAGGTTATAGTATTTGGTCTATCACAATGGTGTCAAGCTAGTCCTCAAAGACCCGAAGGGGCAGCAGGTTTTCATGTCAACCAAGCAGAAGCAGACTAGACTCCAGCAATTTCCTCAAGTGAGTCCAGTCTTAACCTGAAGACTTGAGGAAATGGGTGGAGCCTGTGCGGTTGCTGCAGGTTTTCATTCTAACCAAGCAGCACATCGGCCCTTTTGAGGACTGCTTCGACACCCCTGGTCTGTTAGAATCATTCATATTGAGTGTGACGTACAAAATAGTAGCAAATGTGCAGTGCAGATTATATTTTTTTCCTTTGGAAGACAAATTAGAAAAGGTATGGCTTCACTGCTGCACCTTGAACTCCTGTCCTCCACAATGGGTTTTCTTTGTGTTCATTGATTACTTTTCTTTGTACATCGCTTATGGAAGGACCAATGATAAATATCAACCTGTTTCATTGTTAAGAGATTGAAAGGATGACGGTAAAAGTGAGTTTCCCACACAGAGCCGGCTGCGGCGTAGTCTCTGCCAGTCCACTCATCTGTCTGGAGTCTTCACTATGGATTCTTCTGAGAGATTAAAATGGCCTCATGGGAAATTGAGTTTACTAAAAGCCAATATGTCAGGTGGAGTTATTAGACCCTGACATATTTTGTATCATATTTACGGTGCCAAAATAGTGCGTATTTAAGCCATTTCTCGTGGAGTGAAATAACAAGGTTTCAGACAAAGTATTCGGCGGGCTGTGAAAAATGTTCAGTTTCAATGCGATGATAAAACTTTGTATTTTGCACTCTTTGGTAGACAAAAAGACAAACATATTGAAGGCCACAGTGTTGGATAGAGACAGAAATGCAGCTTTTCTTGTTTCACTTTCTATACCAATACAAAAAAATCTGCTTTTTTCCTTCTGACAATCGTGACCATTTGAAAGTCAATAGTTGTATTATGCAAGAGCGGTGGATGGCCAGTAATATAAATGTCATGTTTTGATGGATTGTTTATCTCTAGCCTAGATCTATCATTTTCTTTGAACAGAAATGGCTTTTATTGCTTCTGCGATGGCAGCATTAGCACAGAGGGTTGAGTGTTTGCCTGTCATTGGCGCGATATCCATTCGGAGTTTGCTGATTTGGATTCAGAGCCAGAGTCCACCAGCTGGAGAGTAACTTTGGCCAAGTCCAAAACTGCTATTGTATCCCTGGCAACCCATTTCATGCAGCAATCTTGGAAAACTGGATAATAAACGGGACTAGGATGGATGAGCGCAGCTTTTTGTAGCAGGCTGATTTTCACACGGGGGTTTGCATGTTCTTCTGGTTACTCTTGGACAATGGTCATATGTGTTCGTCTCAGCTCATTGGTCATCTGTAATTTTAAAATAAAATTCAGTCTCTGTCGTATAATAATTAACACATTTTAGTGCTCAAAAGTCTACAGCGGATTAAAACCTGCAGAATCTAAGTTTATACTTGTTTTGACAAGAACGGACCATGCTGTTCTCACTCGTAAAGACAAGAACGGACAATATGACCTGTCTTTCTTTAGACTTCTACTGTGTGGCATTGTTGTAGCTCTGAGAAATCCACTAGACCAGGGTCACAAACTTTATTATCAAAAGAGACATTTTGTGCCTCGTTCTCCCAAAGAAAAATAGTCTGGAGCTTCAAAATTCAATTCAATTCAGTTCA